GTTTTGTCATAAAGTGTATGCCTGCCATTACTGAGTGTCCTGACAGCTGCCGCTATTGTTTCCCGCAGGAGGAGCGTGGAAGGCTTGGAGAGCAGCGAGCACCGGGGGGTGCTGACACGGGAGCAGAGAGCACTAGGAGGACACGACACGGGAGTCTGGGGAGAACACTGGGATTCATTGTTGCTTTCTACCACACTGTAAATAAACGTACTGCTTGTAATTTGAGCTCCGCGCCTGGGTCCTCCTTTCCCACATTCCCCCACGGTTTGCCACGTCAAACCGTGACAAAGGTTGCATGGAAATACAGTTTAGTGATTAGTATGCAGGGCTGTGGTGACGTTTACAGTGATGCACTATTGTGGACTGGTGCAGAGCAGCTGTGGTGTTCATGCTCAATGTTAGGGGGAGAATTAGATTTATTCATCTGCATCTTCCTTTTATAGTAATTAAACTGTCTACATGGGAGAAATGAACCATACAGCATGTGAAATATGTGCTTATATATTGTTGTATTTAGTTAGCTCCATGTTAAGAGCAATCTACTCATACAGTGAGTTATTATGTGATTATTACTGTGATCCTTCACGTTGCATCACTACACCTGATACATATAACTAAATTGTAAATGTCCATTGATATGGACATTCTCACTACCAGATTGGACAATATTCAGATTCCAGACTTCTATTCTACCCCTGATGATCTGTTGTTGTATTATAATTATTGTTTACTCAATGTCCTTGATTCTCCTGTAAAAACTCACTGTTTCCTTCGCTCGCTCTGCTCCCTGCTCTGCTGCTCTGGTTTACCTCTGACCTCCAAGCATTGAAGGCCAAAGCTCGAAGGCTAGAGAGTAGATATAAGAAATCTCACATCAGTAAGCACCATCTCTTCCACCCGCTCACTTTGAGCTTCTTCTTCTATCCAGCTTGCTGTGCCATCTTTCTGCCTCAGCACCATGGGAAGCAGAGCTTTCAGCTGCTCTGCTCCCAGGCTGTGGAGCTCTCTACCCCCAGATATAAGAAACACTGATTCTCTCCCCCAGTTTAAAGCTCAACTCAAAACCATCTGTTCAAATCTGCATATTCACTGTGAACCTATTGTTTGTTTATGTTATATTGTGCTTTTGTTTTCTTATTTTTCTTTGTTGCTATTGTTCTATTATGTGTTTTGTGGCAAGTGTCCTTGGGTGTCTTGAAAAGCGCTTTCAAATAAAAACATTTTTTTATTATTATTATTATTATTATTATTATTATTATTATTATTATTATTATTATTATTATTAAATGGAAATGATGTTTGGGGTGAAACAAATATAATAACTCTAATCTACAGAGAAGAACAAAGAACAGAAGAAGCTCACCTTGGGCGCAGTTCTTCCTGATGGTTGAAAGTGTCCTCTCCACATTGAACTCTCTCCGGGTTCTTTTCGCGGCTCGTATATCTTTGTCAACCTTTGACTGAAGAAAGTAGAACTTTTTCTTCATCCTCTGAATCTCCTGAGCAAGTTTTACATCATTTTCTCTGAAGCGAGGGTCTGAGATGATGATGAAGAAGTCAAACTTCTCAAATCCAACAAGCTTCAGGTACTCATCAGCTGGAAATCTGGTAGTACCGATTCCAGGGAGGTCCCACAAGATAACACTGGGATACTTTGGATGGGGGTACGGTGTAACCTGTGAGGTGGTTTCCACAACACCAGTGGGTGCAGCGCCCTCATCTTCATCACCAATGCCTCTGAAAGCATTAATAAAAGTTGATTTCCCAGAACCCGACTCTCCTGTGATGGCAACATTTAGCGGCGTGTTCCTTTGCTTTAATCTTCTTTGAATTCTTGCAGCAGCTGCACCAAAGTCAGTGTTTTCCAGGTCTGCTTTAACTCCAGCAGTTACTCCTGGACGTGACTCCATGCTCATCCTTGAGGGGAAAAAAGTGTAAAAATGGCATATATCAAAGATCAGGACACTGTTGAATAATCTTACAATTTACTTTGAATTCTTCATTTTCATCTTAGCTACTATCGGTCACTTTCTTTATTCAGAAAAGGCCGCCACAGCGGGGACCTCCCCACGTTTGATTTAGCAGGTTTTTCACAGCTGTCTTTTCTTATGCAACCCAAAAACGATTTACAGTGGATAGAAAAAGTGTAGACATCGTTGTTAAAACGCTTCTGTTATGTTAAAACTGAGATCACAATGAATTTCTTTATGTGGGAGGGACAGACATTGGACTTTTTTCATTTTCACTTTTGTCCCATATTTTCTGAATTTTTAAATTTATGTTGACAGAGGTGTTAACGGCCTAAAACCTATTTTTTGATGACAACATGATTTACTTTGCTCCGCCCAAATTAGGTTGAAAGTTGAGGATGTGGTTGGGGTGTAAATACCACAAGTACTCAGCTCCATAATTTTTGGAAAAATACAAAGATACACAGGTTTAAATCAAATAACTGACATGAGATTAAAAATCAGACTTTCAGCTTTAATTTCAGGTATTTCTGCATCAACTGTTTATGAATCACAGACAGCTTTTATTCACCGTCCTCCATCTTCAGAGGGTCAGAATTTGATGGCCACACGAGGCCTGTTCCCTCTAAAACTGCTGAATAAATACGTCACATTAGCTGGTCTGATTAACAGGAAGATTAAACTCTGTTCTTTGTTTTCTTCTAGCTCACAGATCAACTTCTGGCTGATTCCAGATTAACTGCTGTTCGATTGCCTGGTGAGGCTGAAACAGACTTCATTTGGGTTTTTTTGGGTTTTTTTAAGATGAAATGAACACTGTGAATATTTCATCTTTGAAATCCATCTGTTTTCTTGTGAGTATGACACAACAGCAAACAGCTGCTGCAGTGTTTATGATAAAAGAGCTTCAAGCTTAACTGAAGAACAACTAAACAGCCAGTTTACACTCCTGAAATAATCTTGGATGTGTTTAGTAAACTGAAAATAATTGATTCACTCTGTCAGCGGTAGAGACACTGAATGGATTTAATATCCGGTGTCTGCTTTGGTTGTGTGGAAAAGAGATATCTTATTTTGTATTCTTATGGTGACATTTTATAATCATAACTATCATTGATCAGTCATTCATCATTGTTGAATCTGATGACAGTATAATCTTTGTTTTATATCTATGGTAATCTGAGTAAAGATTAATGTATGCATATTATCATCATTGTAATCAAG